AGACTATAACTCACATTTGTAGAACATTTTGCCTAACTGCAAAATTTGTTTTTATTGAATGGCTGTGGAACACACATCAAGAAACATTTACCAGTGAAAGGCTTTGTGGATTTGCTAATACAGAAAATACAACTTTGCAATATACAAGACTTACACACTTTGACCAAATAGGCTTCATTTGAAGGAAGATAGATTGGCTCAATACTTGGAAATAAACTAAAGAAGAAAAAAAAAAATTGGGGCTGGAGAGGATGGCTCAGCAGTTAAGAACATCTGACTACTCTTGCAGAGGACCTGGTTTTGATTTCCCAGCACCCACATGGCGGCTAACTCCTGTCTGTTAACTCCAGTTCTAGGGGATTCAATATCTTCTTCTGTCCTCCGTGGGCATTATACAACACAAGTGTACTTACATACATTCAGGCAATATACCCATACACATAAAAATAAATATTTTGCTGGGTGTGGTGGCACACGCCTGTAGTCCCAGCACTTGGGAGGCAGAGGCAGGCAGATCCCTGTGAATTCAAGGCCAGCCTGGTCTACATAGTGAGTTCCAGGATAGCTGGGGCTACAGGGAGACCCTGCTTCAAAAAGACAAAAAAATAAAAAAATAAATAAATAAATTAAAAAAAGAAGAAAAAAAATCATATGATCTTATCAATTGATCCCCCTCCTGAAAATAAGTATTTTTCTTTCTTTTCTTTTTCTTTGAGACAAGGTCTTGCTGGGTAGCCTGAGCTTGCCTCAAACTCATGATCCTCCTACATCAGCTTCCTGAGCAAGATTGTGGGACTGTGATAAAAAAGAAAACCGGGCTGGAGAGATGGTTCAGCGGTTATGAACACTGGTTGTTCTTGCAGAAGACCCTGGTTCGAATCCCAGCATCCACATGGCAGCTAACAACTATCCATAACTTCAGTCCCAGGGGATCTGACAGGCTCTTCTGACCTCTATGGGCATTGCACAACATGGGTGCACTTACCTACATGCAGGCAATATATGCATACACATAATAAAAATAATAAATACAATTTTAAAAAAGTAAAAAGAAAACCAACAAAAATTTAACACATATATGACAAAAACTCTGAAAAATAGGAAAAAGGGAGATTTCCACAAGTTAATAAACAGCATTCATTATTTAAAAAAACAAACCTGATTTCTAATGACTTATTGTTATACCCATAGATTGATGCACCTCTCAACTCTTAGCAAAGAAGCTTCCTTATATAGCAGATGGTGATTAACACAGAGAACCACGACTGCCCAATGTACAGAGAATAAGAGGCAGCCGACTGCTTACCCCTGAATAGGATACCTACAAGGCTCCTCTGCCTCCCTAGGCTCAGGGACCACTGTGGAAAGACTTTAAGAGCCAGAGGGGCTGGATACACAAGGAAACAAAGAGTTTTCCAGACAGCTGGTCAGTTACTCGTATGAATTCACAGCAAAGGTGACAGCATGCGCAAGTCCCACATAAGCTCAAGTCAGACAAAATCCCAGCATGGACATGGAAAATAGGTAAGAAACCCCAACCCTACCTGAGGAATTACTGGAAACTGATGGCTGCTGGGAAGGGGAGATTCAGTCTCATTTAAGGGGGAGACTCTTAGTAGGTTGACCAGGCACCAGCAGATAAACCCACACCGAAGCGCATTCTGGGGACACAAACCTGACCCTCTTTCTCTCTCTCTCTGTATCAATTGATCCCCCTCCTGAAAACAGTTTTTTTTTTTTTTTTTTCCTGAGACAAGGTTTTGCTGGGTAGCCTGCACTTGCCTCAAACTCATGATCCTCCTGCCTCAGCTTCCTGAGCAAGATTGTGGGACTGTGATTAAAAAAAGAAAACCAATAAAAATTTAACACATTTATGACAAAAAACCTCTCTCAAAAAATATATTAGAGTACAGAAACCTGGTGTGGGGCTAGTAAGGGGGAGTTGTAGACATGGGAGGGGATCTAAATATGCTCAAAATAAATTGTATGAAATTTGCAAAAATTCAATAAAGCAAACAAAGCTTAACACATAATATATTGATAATGGTGAAAAGACAATACTTACTAGTAAGACTGTGAGCAAGGAGTTGAGTGTGGTGGCACATGCCTGTAATCCCAGTATTTGGGAAGTGGAAGGGGAAGGCAGGAGGATCAGCCTGAGCTATATATAGAAAGTTTGAGGGCAGCCTGGGCTTCATGAGACCCTGTCCCCAAAAACTAAAAAGGCTGTAGACAAGGAAAGATGTCTACTATGAGGTACAGTGAGTACATTACTCTACCCAGTGCAGTAAAGCAGTAGGAAATACAGGGCATAAAGAAGATAAAGGAAGAACATAGATCTACCTTTATGTGAAGATGACAAAGAAACTCCCTCCCAAAGAATCTATAAAGGACTCCAAGAACTAATACATGAGTCCAGCAAGGTTTTACATTTCTATTTGCCAGCAATCCACAAGATATGCACAGCATTAGTATCTTGAAAACTATAAAGTACTACTGAAAGATATCAAAGACTAAATCACGGAGGCCCACTATGCTCACAGACCAGAAGACCTAAATCATGGAGAGGCACACTATGCTCGCAGACCAGAAGACCTAAATCATGGAGAGGCGCACTATGCTCATAGACTCAATATAGTAAGAATGTCAATTTTCCCCAAATTGGGATACATGCTTAATGCAATTCTTATCAAGATTTCACAGCAAGATTTCTTATAAATATAGGTAAGACTATACTAAAATACACATGGAAATCAAAAGGACTAAAGTAGTCAAATGTAGATGAAAGTGGAATCTATTTATTTAAAGACTTTCATATAGCTACAGTAATCAATAGTTGAGGATAAGGTACTGATATATGCAACAGCCTAGAAAATTAAACTGAGTGAAAAAAATTAATTCTAAAAGATTACATACTGTATGATTCTATTATTTATTATTTTTGAAATGACAGAACTGTAGGAACAGAGAACACAGCAGTGGTTGCCACTGGCTATGGAGCGATGGGGTAGGAGAGAAGTGGGCGTTGTTACCGAACGGCAACAGGAGAGACCTGCATAATGGAAATGTTCTGCACCATGACTGTATCAGTTTTCAATATCCTGGATAAGACTTTGTACTCTAGCTGTTACTCTGGTGGAAAATTGGGTAAAGGGTGTAAGAGATCTCATTTTTTTCTTACAACTCCATGTAAGTCTATAATAATCTCAAAATAAAGGTACAAAAAAGGGCTGGAAAAATGAATCAGCAGTTAAGAGTGCTTGTTGCTCTTCCAGAGCACTGGAGTTCAGTTCCCAGCACCCATGTCAGGTGGCTCACAATAGCCTCTAACTCCAGCTCTATGGGATCTGATGGCTTCTTCTGGCCTCTGAGGGCACCTCTATGCATGTGCGCATGCACACTTGCACCCATGCATGCATTCATGCACACACAAAATTTTCTTTAAGTTATATAAACAAGAAAAACAGGCTAAAGAGATCTAAGAACTGGTACGATAACTTATATGGAACTAAGTATAAAATGAAATTATTGTGGGAACTTAAAAAAAAATACAAAAGCAATGATAAATAGTAGGGAGGTTGGTTTATGAACATGCTTCTAGCCATAAGTAAAAAGGAAACTCATCAGATCTCAGCCTCTGAATTGCTGAACTAGTACAGTATGCTCATTGCACTCAGGACACACAGTGAACTAGACTATCCACAGGGCATACCAAAGAGACATCTGTTTTCCTTACCTACAGTTCCTTAGAAATTTGTAAAACGAATAATGCCCAAATCTGGTTCTTTTCCCCATTCCAAGCCTTGAATTTCTTCAGGTTACAATTCTTGACTTTTTTAGGCACAGGATGAAGTGGCAAGGAATGCTCTGTTTCAGGATGGCACACTGGGCTGTCTCCATCCTCTTCTCATGCTCCTCATACAACTACTGCTGCTGACAATGTTTTTTGAGATAGTCACCTGTAGCCCAGGCTAGCCTCGAACTTGCTTTTTAGCCAAGGATGAACTTCAATTCCTGATCCTCTGACCTGTGCATCCCAAGTGCAAGGATTACAGGTATGCCAGTATGTCTAGCTATGTTATTTTCTTGGTAATGTCTCTTTTATAAAAAAAAAATTTTATTTATTATTTTTATGTGTACGTATGTGTTGCCTGCATGTAGGTAAGTGCACCCATGTCATGCAATGCCCGCAGAGGACAGAAGAGGGTGTCGGATTCCCTGGAACTGGAGTTACGGACAGTTGTTAGCTGCTGTGTGGGTGCTGGGATTCAAACCCGGGTCTTCTGCCAGAATGACCAGTGTTCTTAACTGCTGAACCATCTCGCCAGCTCTGGTAATGCCTCTTAATAATAAGCCTTAAATGGTCTTCTCATACATATTAATTATATTATATATTATATTATATTTATTATATCAACTTATTTTTTCTCTAGAATCATTTGATTATACATTTTCTTTTCAAATTTTTCCCAATCCTATGATTCATTTAGTCACAATTTCTGCTGACTGAGAACAAAAACACCTGATGGTTAGAGCAGGAAGCAGTGATGTGGGTCACTCTTTTATTTAGTTAAATATTTTATTTTAAATTATGTGTGTATGTGTGGGTCTGTGGGGGTATGTACACATGAGTGCAGGTGCCTGTGGAGGCCAGAGGAGGGAATCAGAACCCCTAGAGCTAGAGTTACAGGTAGTTGTGAGCTCCCTGACATGGGTGCTAGAAACTGAACTTTAGTGCTCTTAACTGCTGAGCTATCTCTCCAGGCCCTGTTATCCTTTTACTTGATCCTGATTTCCAGAGATTACAGCAAATACTTGCTATTGTAGAGGCAAATATCAAAACAAGGGTTAGCTTGTGGGTCATCTCCCTGTCATCTGGAGAACAGGGCAAGCAGTGAGCAGGACTATATCACCAGTGCTATTTTTGTGCCCAACTAAATTCTCCTAGAAGCAGAGAATTTAAGCGTAAAGGGAGATTTTATTAGTAATCAAGGTCAAACCTTTTCTGATGCATGAGTTTCTTTTCTGCTCTGGAAAAGCAACTGTCCAGCCTTTGTTTGAATGTCTCCAGTGAGGCCCGGATTTCTTACCTGAAAAACAATGCATTATAATATGACTGCGAAGCCTCTTCTTTTTAATGAAATCTAAATTTATGTTAGCTACTTTAACTTAAAGCTTCTTCATTTTTATTACCAAACTGAATGACAGAATCAGCCAGACTTTCTTCCCTCTTGTGGTACTAGGAGTCAAACCAGGGTCTCATGCATGCTAGACAACTTTCACATTTATTATGCCTATTATTGATTTTGTTATGCTCTTTAGGAAACAGTTTCATGTGTCCTAGAATTTGCTATGGAGCCCAGGCTGGATATGAACTTGAGATATTCCCAAGTGCTGAGATTACAGGTATGGATCATCACACCCAGTCTGTTACTTCTTCTCTAATCCACTTTGTTCTTTCCCTAAATTATTTTAATTTCCTTCTCAGAAAGGAAATCCATTAATTGGGAAGAACAAGAACACTTGCCACATGTCCTGAAGAAATTTATTTCATGTGACTGTCATCACACAACTTCAGAAATTCTGAATATTGGAAAATAATTAGTAAGGATATGATAAGGAGAATGGATAGCCTCCATTTCTCTTTAAGAACAATATGCAAGCTTGGCCTCCTGATCTACCTATCGGACCTGCCCACTACTCTGATAAGTATACTGTTATAACACTCATCAAAGAAGCTTCTTTTTGCAACAGAGGGAGGCTATTACAGAGTTCTGAAACTGGTCACACACAGAGAATATACGTTTGAGAGATGCCCAGCCCTAAGTAACACATCTACAGTGGAACCTCTACACCTAAGGCACATGGAACATAGCAGAATAGGGGGTAGAGAGAATACTAATCCATCTCTCAACTCTGACCAGCAAAGTTTCCTCATACAACAGAGTGCAAAGCACACAGAAGGCCACAACTGGCCAGGTGTCAGAGAATAAGAGACTGCAGAGTGCGTGTCCCTGCATAGGACTCTTTTTTTTTTTTTTTGGTCTTTTTGAGACAGGGTCTCTCTGTAGCCCCAGCTGTCCTGGAACTCACTATGCAGACCAGGCTAGCCTTGAACTCACAGAGATCTACCTGCCTCTGCCTCCCAAGTGCTGGGATTAAAGGCGTGTGCCACCACGCCCGGCCCGAGGACTCTTATATTAAAACATACCCACCCATGGTTCAGGGACCATTGTGGAAGAGGGGGCAGAAAGATTATAAAAGCTAGGGTTGGTGCATGAACATAAGGAAACAGGCTTTCAGACCACTGGGAACTTGCTCATATGAACTTACAGCAATGGTGACAGCATGCATAAGACCCATGCCGACTTAGACAAAAACCCAGCATAGAACTGGGGAAATGTGCAGCAGGCCCCAACCTTAGCTGAGGAACTATTGGCAACTGATTACTGAGAGGTGAGGGAGAGTAGCTCTTCTTTAAGGGGAATGACTCTAGATAGGCTGACTAGACTCCAGTGGATGAGCTTGCACTGAGGGACATCTGGGTACAAATGCTTGACCAAATAGGACTTAGCATATATGACAGAATGCATGAAATCCAGTGGAGGGAGCTATGGTGGGAGGCTCAGATGGTGGAGGGGGTCTACATTTGGTTAAAATCTATTATATGAAATACACAAAAATTTAATAAAATTTTTAAATTTTTTTTTTGTCTTTTTGAGACAGGGTCTCCCTGTAGCCCCAGCTGTCCTGGAACTCACTATGTAGACCAGGCTGGCCTTGAACTCACAGAGATCTGCCTGCCTCTGCCTCCCGGGTGCTGGGATTAAAGGCGTGCGCCACCACGCCTGGCCCAAAATTTTTTAATTTTTAAAAATATTTTTTATGTGTATGGGTGTATTGCCTGCATGTCTGTGAGTGCACCCGTGTCATGCAATGCCGCGGAGGTCAGAAGAGGGCTTTGGATTCCTCTGGAACTAGAGTTAAGGACAGTTTATAGCCCCCATGTGGTTGCTGGGAATCAAACCCAGGTCCTCTGCAAGAGCAGTCAGTGCTCTTAACCGCTGAGCCATCTCTCCAGCCCCAAAAATTCAATAAAAAAAAATTTTTTTTTTCTCATTGCAGCTGGTTTGTTTGTTAGTTTGTTTGTTTGAAGCAGGGTCTCCCTGTAGCCCCAGCTGTCCTGGAACTCACTATGTAGACCAGGCTGGCCTTGAACTCACAGAGATCTGCCTGTCTCTGCCTCCCAAGTGCTGGGACTACAGGCATGCGCCACCAGGCCTGGCATAAAAATATTTTTTAAAAAACAAAACCAAACTAAAACAAACAATATGAAAATATGTACCAGCTCTACAGCCAAATCTTAATACAGCTCAAACTCAATTTATAATAAAGGACTCTTCTGACATCCCGGCTACTATGATTGCTCCTGGTCCTTCTAGAACTGGTAGTATAGCTCAAAGTCTTGGGGTTCAGTCAAGTATCATGGATAAAACTAAGGGATACGTTGCATGATTATCCATGATCTTCATGCACATCCATAGGTTACTTATCAAAGAGACTTGTCCTTTTTCATTGGTAAGCTCACAGAGTCACCACCATAATGAAAGATTCAACCTAGCATCACACAAAGTAGGTTCCACCATTAGGCAAAATTTCACAGTGGGATGCACTAAGGCATGGAGCATTACTTACTTAGGCACTCTTGCCTAAAAATGTTGGGTTTCACTCTGATCTTGAAGGAATAATTAGGAGAATTCATAGTGTGGAATAACTGAAGACAACAGGACTAGTCTTAAAAAAAAGCTATATAGGAGAGGTGGTTCAGTAGTTAATGAGCACTTGATGCTCTTGCAGAGGACTCAGTTTTGGTTCTTAGTATCCATATGGTGGCTAACAACTGTTTGTAACTCCAGCTCCAGGGGATACAATGCACTTTTATGTCCTCCTCAGGCACCAGGCATGTACATGGTGCACATACATACATGTAGGCAAGCACTTGGCACACATTAAAAAAATTTTTTTTTTAAAGAAAAGGGGTTTAACTGCCTGCTATAGTGACACCAAAGAGTCATTGCAACCAAGTGTGGTGGCGCACACCTGTAGTCCCAGCACTTAGGAGGCAGCAGGCAGATCTCTGTGAGTTCAAGGCTAGCCTGGTCTACATAATGAGTTCCAGGGCAGTTGGGACTACAGGGAGACCCTGTCTCAAAAAAAAAAAAAAAAAAAAAAAAAAAAAAGGAGGTCATTGCAATTAAGTCCTGTGCATGAACTATTTCCTGAATCAGGAAAGAAAATTTTTTTTGGGTGGGGAAAGGAAAAGTAAATGTATACTAATAGTGAAATACTAAAGAACAGTGGCCAGTCAGGGAAAAGAAAACCAATACATAATTCCCTTCAGGAATGAGGTTTACTAAGAGGGCTTCAAGGCTATGATTGGGCCTCAAGGTGGAAGAGAAATAGCATTAGAAAGAAAATGGTCCAGTACTTTAAAACTGTGTAACAGGCTTTTAAAGGGAAGCCTCCCCTTCCCTTTGAAATCTGAGAGGTGCTTCAGAAGAGAGAATAAGAGTGGGGGGTGTCTTTTATTATTTTTTTCCTGTAGCTGCAGCTGGCCTGGATTCGCTAACGGAGACCAGGCTGGCTTAGAACTCACAGAGATCCACCTGCCTCTGCCTCCACAGTCCTGGGAATAAAGGCGTGCACCACCACGCCCCGTGTGTGTGTGGGGGGGGGGGTGTCTTTTTTTAAAATTGTATTTATTTATTATTATTATTATTAATTTTTTTTCTTTGGTCTTTTTTGAGACAGGGTCTCCCTGTAGCCCCAGCTGTCCTGGAACTCACTATGTAGACGAGGCTGGCCTTGAACTTAGAGATCCGCCGGCCTCTGCCTCTGAAGTGCTGGGATTAAAGGCCTGCACCACCACGCCCGGCTGTTATTTTTATGTGTATTGCCTACATGTATGTGAGTGCACCCGTGTCGTGCAATGCCGTGGAGGTCAGAAGAGGGCTTCAGATTCCCCTGGAAATGGAGTTAAGGACGGTTTGTAGCCGCCATGTGGGTACTGGGAAACCAACCTGGGTCCTCTGCAAGAGCAGTCAGTGCTCTTAACCGCTGAGCCATCTCTCCAGCCCCAGGGGGGTCTTTTTTGAGACAGTCTCCCTGTAGCCCCAGCTGGCCTGTAACTCACTATGTTGACCAGGCTGGCCTTGATCTCACAGAGATCCACCTGCTTCAGCCTCTTCAGGTTTAAAAGTATGCACAACCAGGATGGTCTTTTTTTTTTTTTTTTTTTTTTTTTTTTTTGTTCAAGGGCTATCAGTGTCATTTGAGAGCTTACAGGTCTACATTTGAATTTTTAACTAACCTGCTTAACAGATATAGCCAGACTCTTCTATAACTCTTTAGGTTATTTGCAAAAGGTTTAAAATGTTAGGTTGTTGGATTAACAGACAACTCTAACTCATTGTTAACTAGAGGGGGTAGGGAACACTTGAAAGATAATTTAGCATTGCTCTCTGATTCAAAGGCTGGCCTCAAGGCAAGAGACTAGATAGAAACAATGGATGGTAGGTCTTAGGGTTTAGGCCCCACATTTGATATTAAAGGAGTTGTACATTTCAAATTATTTATTCAAGTCATAATGATTGCCTTTGCTCAGTCTTTTGAGATTAGAGAGGATAGGTCATTTTTTTCTTCCTCATCTAAGTTTCACATAGAAATCATGGGTGTTAATCTCTAAGCTCTCTTGCAACCGTGAACCAACAGATACAACTCAAAGACAACGAAAGAGAAAATGTAACTGACAAAAATAATTACAAAAGTCATCAAGATATAACAACAAAAAGTAATTAGCAGGTTCTCCAAGGGTAACACTTTACAGTGTCTTTTAATCCTATGGTCATAGGAACAAACGTACACAGCCAGGGGTGTAAGAGAAATAAAAATTTGTTATTTGCAGTTACATCGGGCTTTGATTACTCTGTTTTAAATCATCCAGCAAGATCTACAGGGAAAGCTGAAAGTCCTAAGTAGTGCGTCTCCAGAAATGAGATCAGGGATTCTAGAGAAGATCAGAGCCGAGAAAAGGATGTTTCAGTAGAAGGGTCTCCTGCCTGACAGCTCAAGGTCACGGCGCTGACAGCTCACCGCGTTCACCCTCCGTCCAAGGCAACCCAGACCCTGCAGACCCGAGCAGGAGGCGGCTCCAGCCTCGCCGCGCCCAGCCCCCCCCCGCCCCCCCGGCAGGTCCGGCCGCTCCGGGACTCGCCGCCGGTTGCGCAGTCCCGACGCCCCGCGTACATGCGGCGCCTTCCTCCCGGGGACCTGCCTGCCGCCCCCGCCCGGGATCCCGCCCGAGTCGAGAAAAGAGACCATACTTAATGACAGGCTCTCGCGTTAGACTCGGGTACGCGGCTGAGGGACTTCGCTCAGGGTCGGATCTGGGGGCAGTGGGTCAGTACAGACCGGGCGCTGCGGCCGCAGGATGGCACCGAACACGTGGGAGCTGTGATGTCAAAGAGCGCTGAAATCCTTTGGCGCAGATTCGTTATAACTTGGAAAACCGTAGGAGGGAAAGCCAGGACTCCAAGCGAATCCTAAAATCCCCTAAGAATTATCTTTTGTAATTGCCTGTTTAAACAATGCACATATTCTCCACTTTCTTTCCCACAACGTTGCGAATCTGTGGAAATGTCTTCAGAGCCCAATTTACTTAATCCTCCGAGTCTAACGGTCTGCAGAAACTACATTGTAAAATCTCCTAATAAACAAAAGTATTGTCTATGGGCTGAATGAGAGCTCTTTAGCCCTCCGGCGGTACCTTGAATCGTATCCAAAACTAAACGCAATATATCGCCTTTAAAATAAAGTAAATTCACACGTCTTCTACGTCTTTTTCGTTGGGCGTCTGTTTCCACCCGGAGAGGGATGGAAGAGCACCAGCACCTTCGCTCTGCGGTTGGAGGGCTGGGACACTGTCGGTGCACGCATGCGTGCTGTGTCTCAAGGGCGGGCTTCTGGGGAAGGCATTGACCCGCGGACAACCGAAGCTGCGGTCAGCTTAGGCCCGGCTTTCCGGAGTAGCTGGAGGCTAATTTAGGTGCCCGAAATTGCGGCTGGACTCGTAAGACTGCGGATAAAGAAGGACTTTTAAGCCTCTTATTAGGACGATATTTTAAAAGCAGTGTAGTATTTTGATTTTCCCTGCTAGGTCTTCCCTACAAGCCTAGCCCGGTCCTTGCATCTGTTTGGCAAGCCCCCGGCTCATTGTTAATACTGTTAACGGCCGCACATCCTGATTTTCTCTTGGCATACTTCCTTTCAGATTTATTGCTTTGAAGCATGAACAGACCTTATGGGAATAATGGATAAATAAGACATGTAGTTGTAGTTAGTTCAGGATTAAATGCCAGAATTCAAACTTACAGCTTTGTGGATATCTATAAACATTTTAAAGAACTTAATGACTGCTTCCTAATCATTTTTTTTGGAAATCAGCCATTCCTTATAGCCACCCCACCGTTGCTTCCCTTCCTTCCCTGGATCTCAAAGGGGTGGAAATTTTGTTTCTGAGGTCTTAGGAACTTAGAAGAAAGTACTTAACATTTAGAACCGTGGGTCTAGTTTTATGACTAACAATATGAAAGGCTTTGAGTTTAGACTGGAAAAGGAAAAAGGGGTTAAAATGCCAGCGAGGAGACTTCGTGAGGTCCTTTCTCCAAATCAGGGAGATAGTTTGCCATTGGTGAAAGATGAGTTTCCCGGTGTTCCTCCAGCATTGCCTGCCAATAAACGTCTTCCTGTTGGAACGAGGACTAGCTTAAACCGAACGTTATGTGGTATGTGCTTCCGTGCATTGGGTTTTCCACCCCGTTTCCATTTTTGTAAATCTTTAGTCCTTATTTTCATCTGTTTTGTGTGTGTGCCTCAAAATTTAGGGGATTCTTGATGTTTACATTCCCAAGTAGATGATATCGGTGTGGTTATACAGATGTTTGAAAAGTGAAAGCGACCAATCTACAGAATGTTTCAGTGAATGAAATGAGTGAAAGTTTACTATTTTCTATATTGTTATTTCTTGGTGTGGTTTCTACACGTTTTTGTTCACACCTGTGATGGACACGCTGGTGTAATATACTCACTACTTATCCAGTAGTGCTTTTTACCAAATGCTACCCCTTCTTTTGGATAGTGTTATCCAGACTGGCAGGGTAGAAAATCATAATCTAAGTCATTTGATGACTTCTGTATTTCCATTTCTTTTATGCTGTCTAGAGCTCTGTGAAAATTAAAGGTAATTTTTATATTCTATTTATTATTTTAATTTTATATATATGAGTGTATTGCCTGCATGTAAGTAAGTGCACCTCTGTTGTGAAATGCCTGCAGGGGTCAGAAGAGGGCACCGGATTCCTTGGAACTGGAGTTACAGACAGTTGTTACCTGCCTTGTGGGTGCTGGGAAGTGAACTCAGGTCCTCTGCAAGAGCAGCCAGTGCTCTTAACCACTGAGCCATTTCACCAGTCTTTATATTGCTTATTTTAAGAATCAAATTAGGGCTGGAGAGATGGCTCAGTGGTTAAGAATACTGGTTCTTCTTGCAGAAGACCCAGGTTCGAATCCCACCACCCACACGGCAGCTACCAACTGTCCGTAACTCTAGTTCCAGGAGATCCGATGGCCTCTTCCGTCCTCCATGAGCATTGCATGACACTGGTGCACTTACCTACATGCACTCATACACATAAAAGAAAAATAATAAATAAAATATTTTAAAAAATTAATGAGTATGTGTGCAAAAACAGCAATATGGTTTTATAATTCTGTTTTGGAGCGTTACACCATAGCAAACCTTCTAGTAAATCAGGCTTTTATATCCATGTGGTTTTTGTTTTGTTTTCCTTTTGAGACAGGTTCTCACTGTGTAGCCCTGGCTGGCCTGGAACTTACCGTATAGATCAGGCTGGCCTCACACAGGGATCTTCTGCCTTTGCCTCCTGAATGCTGGGACTAAAGGTGTGCACCACCGCATTTGGTATGTTTTGTTCCTAGTAAATCTCATAGTTTTTCCACATTTAACTGAAACCTTTAAAATTTTTTCTTGGATTACTTTAAATTATGTGCATTTGAGCTGGGCGTGGTGGCATATGTAATTGATCTCATTACTCAGAAGGTCGGGGCAGGTAGATCTCTGTGAGATTGAGGCCAGCGTGGTCTACATAGGGAGTTTCAGACCTGCTGTGGCTACAGCAGGGAGACCCTGTCTAAAAAAAAAGAAAGAAAGAAAAAGAGGAAAAAGAGGTTATTTGTGTATGTCTTTGTGTATAGTGTGCATTTGAGTGTAGATGCCCTTAGAGATGAGAAGCATTGGATTCTCCTGGAGCTGGAGTTAGAGGCAGTTATGAGCCACCTTAGTTGAATACTGGGAACTGAACTTGGGTTCTCTATAAGAGCAGTAAATGCTCATGACTGCCAAGGTATTTCTCCAGCCCCTTGAACCTTTTAAATAAATGTTTAACTTTTTGAGACAAGGTATCACTATGCAGCCTTGGCTGACCTCAGATTCACAGTGATCCACCTATTTCTGCCTTCTGCATGCTATGATTAAAGTTTTGTGCCACCATGCCTAGCCTTAAGATATTTTATATCTCACCTTCTTAATTGCTTGTATTGATCCTTATTTTCCTAAATACCAACTGTAAACACTTTCATTGGAATATAGTTAAATATATTTTCTCAATTTCCTTTACATGGACGATGTCTTCCATTTGGTTTTCAAATTAATACAGAGTTCTCAGTTCTTGAATCATGCTGTACAGTTGCCAAAAGGTGGTCTGTGATTTAAAAGCCACTCAAGTTGGGTCCTGTAACTCAGTGGTAGAGCCTACTGAGTGAGAAGCCCTGGGTTCAGTCCCCAGTAGTGAAAATAACACTCACATTGATTCCTTTGTTTTCTTAGGTTCTTCGGATTTAACTTCTAGAAAATATTACCATCCTCTGTCAGAAAATCCTACTGTATCTAACAAAAGTGTAAGTAAAGGAATTCTAAATCATTACATTTTCAAGTTATGTTTTATTTGTAATATATTTTGTTTTTATTTAGATACTTCATGTGAAGAGAAATGATTTTTTAAATTCATCTATTTTTAATTCCATTTTTATGTATTTTGTATACATTTGGGTGTATGTGGGCATGCACAGGCCATGGCTTGTGTTTGTGGAGGTCAGAGAATGACTTTTGGGAGTTTATTCTCTCCTTCTACTATGTGGGAGATGAAACTCAGGTCATCAGGCTTGACAGCAAGTGTCTTTACCCAATGAGTCACCTTGCCAGCCCCAGAAATCTGTTATAATTTTGACTCAGAGTGTGAAACATTAAATATGTCTACTATATTAATCTTGCTGCCTTTTAGAAATACCACATCTATCACTAGCCTTGAGCAGTTTCCTTTTACAGTTTTTTCCCATTTTCGTGTGTGTGTGTGTGTGTGTGTGTGTGTGTGTGTATGTGTATGGTATGTGCATGTTTGGGTGTGTGAAGGCACATGTGTGTGTGTGGGGGTGCATGCACATGTGTGCACATATATGTATATGAGTGTATGTGGAGGCCCAAGGCTGATGTCAGGAATCATCTTCAATGGCTCTTCTACCTTGTTTCTTTGAGGCAGAGTTAGTCAAACCGCTAGTCTCACTAATCCTGACTCGGGGGAGCCTGTCTCAGCCTTCCAAGGCTGGAGTAACAGGTAGGTGGGTTGCCATACCCACCAGCATTTACTTGTATTCTGGGGATCCAAACTCTGGTCCTCATACTTGTGAGGTAAGCACTTTAACCACAGAGTCATGTCCCCAACCTGTTATATTTTTTTCTCCTTTTTCTGATTTAGCACACACACAAAATATGGCGAGAACAGCATCTGATAAATTAGTGTTATGAGTCCAATCATCTCAGCATTGAATAGAATCTTCGACAAATTCTAGGGTCGCGCACGGGAGCAGGAAGCTATTTGCCAGTAGATGTGAACTGCACACGGAGTCTTCTGAGACCACAGATGAGCTCAGTGACTGAATGCTGTGTCAGTTACCATGCTGTTCATTGAGTGTCTTACTCTGCTCTGCCTGACTCACCCTGAGTTAGATTTTCACATTTAGCTGAAGCAACTGAGATGTTCAATAATTCGTTCTGCTACATGATGAATCTGGATTTAAACCAGAGTCTCTACCATGTCTGCCTGCTTGTTCATTTGCTCATTCACTAGTTTGATAACACATTACTCACTCATTGAGAACTCCTCTCCAAGTACCTCCAAGCTTTGAGTGTTGGCAGTGAAATATCCAAACATCCAGACCTTCCTATCAGATGGACCAGCCTATCAGGTGCTGGTCAAGGATTCTGATGAATGATAAGTCATGAAGTTTATTCAGTCTTTCTTTTGTCTTTCATATCCCAAAGGATTTTTCTAAAAATGTAGTGACAAACCTATCTTCAGAGAAAACAGAAGACAGCAACAGGCAAAAAGGTAAATTAATACAATTGATTTTTTTTTTTGGTCTTTTTGAGACAGGGTCTCCCGGTAGCCCCAGCTGTCCTGGAACTCACTATGTAGACCAGGCTGGCCTTGAACTCATAGAGATCCACCTGCCTCTGCCTCCCAAGTGCTGGGATTAAAGGTGTGTGCTACCACGCCTGGCACAATACATGCAGCAAGCTCTCTAGCTTCAAGCCCTGTTTTATTTTATTTTATTTTATTTTTTTTATTTTATGTGTATGTGTGTATTGCTTGCATGTAGGTAGGTGCACTCGTGTCATGCAATGCCCGCGGAGGTCAGAAGAGGCTGTCAGATCCTCTGGGATTGGAGTTGCAGACAGTTGTTAGCTGCCATGTGGGTGCTGGGATACAAACCCTGGGTCTTCTGAAAGAACAACCAGTATTCTTAACTGCTGAGCCATCTCTCCAGCCCTGCCCTTTTTTTTTTTTTTTTTTTTTTTTGAAATTGTTGTTTTATTTTTCTCTTTTTTTTTGAAGCAGGGTCTCCCTGTAGCCCCAGCTGTCCTGTAACTCACTATGTAGACAAGGCTGGCCTTGAACTCACAGAGATCCACCTGCCTCTGCCTCCCAAGTTCTGGGATTAAAGGCTATTTTTGATTTTGATGTAGGGCCTTACTGTGTAACTCTCTCCGGCTTAGAACTTGCTGTGTAGACCAGGCTAACCTCAAACTTGCAGCGAACCTCCTGTTTCTTCATCTTTACTACTAGGATTATAGATGTGAGTTGCAATTTTTACCCCAAAAATTCATCTGTTTATTTTTATTGATTTTTATTTTTTGATCTTTTTGAGACAGGGTCTCCTTGTAGCCCTGCAGCTGGTCTGGAACTCACTATGTAGAACAGACCGGCCTTGAAGTCACAGAGATCCCCCTGCCTCTGCCTCCTGTGTGCTGGGATTAAAGGCATGCCACCACACCCGGCTTATCTTTTTTTTTTTTTTTTGGCAGTACTGGAGATTGGACCAAGAGGCTCTCAACATGCTAACCAAGTGTTCTATCACTGAACTATATACCTAGTCTCCAATCTTAATCTTTTTTTTAGTAATTTATTAAAATTTAATAAAATTTCAGGAATCTGAACTATATTTTTGTGCTTTGTGTTTTCAGCAAATGACATCTTTATTTCTCAGTACACCTTGGGACAGAAAGATGCTTTGAGAACTGTTTTAAAGCAAAAGTAAGTTTCATTTATAGATATACTTTTATTGATGTGTTACCTACATTATAAGTAAATGATTCTTTGCCATATGTTAAAAGATCAATTAAGTAGAATGCCAATGTTTTAACAACAACAATAGCACCTTCTAGGGCTGGAGATAGAGATCAGTGATAGAATAACTTGGCAGCTTGCACAAGAATAGGCTCAGTCTCTGGCATCAGAAATAATAATAGACCATGACCAGCCAAGAGTGCAAAAATAGCTTGATAATAGTGAGTTCTGTTCTTATGCCCGCTGTAGTGTTCTCTTCTTGCTCACTCTAATCTTTACAGAAGCCTGGCATGTCTAGTGATATACACAGATGTAGCAGTGATGGCTAGAAGTATCATAGGAAAAAGCATTGCATTCTGTATATGATTGCACCATGCAGACATTTAAACCATGGCATGCCTGATGATCAAATCTGCATGTGTATTACATGTGTAATACATGCAGTAAATGCAAAAGGACTTAATGAGAGGAGAGATCAATAAGTGATGTAAAGACAGGCTTATTGAAAAAGGGAAGCATTGTGTTGAATCCTTTAGAAGGAAGTGGTAGTGACTTGGGTAGAGGGTGGAGAGTGCAGAAAGCTTAACATGAGTTGTGGGCCACTGTCTTTTGTATATTCAACAAGAAGAGCCTTGTGATTCCAGATAGATGTTGTTGTGATAGTTATGTATAGTAAAATAGAAGAGAGCTAGAATATTATGAGCATGTAGAAAAGAAACAGGAAATCAGCCAATCCTGTTATTTATAAGCTACTATGTTAGATTTTGCATGGTGGAAATACATGTGAGGAATTTATTTTTGGTCTTTTTGAGACAGGGTCTCCCTATAGCCCCAGCTGTCCTGGAACTCACTATGTAGACCAGGCTGGCCTTGAACTCACAGAGATCTGCCTGCCTCTGCCTCCACAGTCCTGGGATTAAAATTAAAGGCATGCACCACCACACCCGGCATGTGAGGAATTTTTAAGGAAGAATAAAATATGTAGTTGGTAAAAGCTGATGAAGTTCTACTATAGAGAACAAGAAATAAGAAGAGACAGAGATGCTAATGTGAGAAAGCTGAAGGGTCATAGGAAATCTGTGGGAAGTGAACCCTGACTCTGACACTTCCTAAACCTCTGGCTCTGGTCAAGTGAATCCCATTAGCTCTATGGACTTCAGTTTCCTTATGTAAAATTAAGAAATTAGGATAGATGGCCTCTAATATTCCCCACTTCCACAGTTCATTGACAGTGGTCATGTAATTATGATGAAACAGTTGACAAAAGTTGATGACTCAGTTGGGAACAAGAAGGTCAGCACACAGAGAAGCCAAGGTTTGAGATGCACAGTTGAGACAGGGTCTCTCTGTAGCCCCAGATGGCTTGGAACTTGCTATGTGGACCAGATTGGCCTCGATCTCACACAGATCTGCCTGCCTGCTGGGATTAAAGGTGTACTCCACCATGCCCAGCAAATTCAGTACTTTAAATAACCTTTCTTGGGGACTTTGTTCTAAGATAAATAAACCAGCAAAGAAAGAAGGTTACCACATAAGCTACATCAATTATGTGTGTCGAGCAGAGTAGCTTGGTGGTTAGGACTAGGGAGGAACTGGTATACTGGCCAGAGGGTACAGTTTCAATCAGGATGTCCAAGCTATAGGACTCTGTTCACTGCATGATGACCTTAGCTAATATTAATTGCTGAGACAGTAGATCTAAAATGTTCTCACTGTAGAATAAGTAACTATATATTAATTAGTTTGATTGTAATATTTCAGTGTATACATATATCAGAGTATTAGTGTATGCTGCACATACGTAATTTCAGTTTGTCAATTGTGCCTCAGTAAATCTGGAAAAAATAGTAGCCAGTGTTTATCAGTAATGTTATAATTTTTGGTTTTCTGGGTTTTTTTGTGTGTGCATGTGCTAGTGCTAGAAATCAGGGCTTTGTCCATGTAAGCATGCTTGCAATGAGCTATATCCCATCCCTAACCCCTTATTTATTTGTTTATTTACTATTTATTTATTTATTTATTTTTATTTACTTATTTATTTATTTATTTGAGACAGGGTCTCACTGTGTAGCTTGACTGACCTGGAACACACTATGTAGACCAGGCTGGCCTTAGGCCTGCAGAGATCTGCCTGCTTCTGCCTTCCTCCCAAGTGCTGAGATTTAAGGCATGTATGTACCACTATTACCATCCCCAATCCCTAATTTTATAATTCTTCTAAAACTTTTGAATGTTTTTAAAATGAAAGTAATTTTGCCTTTAGTAGTAAAATTGATATTTGGACTCTTAGACCTGCATGTTTTTAACTTGAACTTTTTGATTATTTATCTTTATAGTTGACTATGCCATTTTTATATGGAAGTCATGTTTTCAAAATACTATCACTGCCTTCAAGGAATATCTTTTTATTCCATTAATCCTTAGTGACCTAAGCCTTAATAAACTTCAACTAAATGACTTTAATAGTTGAATTTTTTTTTAAATCAGGAAAATGGGGCTAGAGAGATGGCTCAGTAGTTAAGAGTGCTTGCTGTTCTTGCAGAGAACCTGGGTTTGTTCCCAGCACCTGCATGCGGAGGTTTACAGCTGCCTTTACCTCTAGTTCTAGGGGATGCTGTGCCTTTGGACCCTGTGGGATGCCTGGACTCAGGTGCACACACCTATGCCCCACACCCTCACACATACATGTAATTAAAAATAAAATCTTAAAAGAATCAAGAAAATCATCTTCAGCAGAGTACCAGATTCCCATTTATAGGTGTTTCTTATACTGGCTCAGTGTAGCTTACTGAAAAATTATTTCTTTTTTATTTACAGAGCTCAAAGCATGCCTGTTTATAAAGAAGTAAAAGTACATCTTTTAGAAGACACAAGAACAGAAAAGGATGGTGTTGCTCAGGAGACTAGAACTTCACCCAGTAGAATCGATTCAGCTACCACTGTGGCTGCAGCAACTGCTGCCGCCATTGCAACAGCAGCTCCACTGATAAAGGTACATTTTCCTCCCCAGGTATTCCTGTGAGGTATATGCTAAGAGTTGACTGTAAAATGATTATGTCCAATTGTAGACTTGAGGACCTTCTAGTTGCTCTCAATTTGAAAGGCATTCCTTCTCAAGAGCTGTGAAAATGGTCTCATGGATGTGATGGCTAGACAAATCCAAGACTTTCCCACTGTAGCATCCAAAGTCCCACGTTCTGGGATGATCAGTCTTCTTTGGGAGCAAATCTGGGACCTTGTACAATGCTAGGCAAGTGCTGTCACACTGAGCTATACTACTAGACCTCAGTTTTCCTTACTGAACCTTAGATCGTATGACTAGCTTGTCAGTTTGTAATGGGGAAGCAGAAATAGGTCAGGGTACACATAAGACTTTAGAGCTAATACGCAGCAGAGTCAAGACTGAATTCAAAGCTGTTGATCAAACCCAGGCTTAAAATAGAGAAGTATCAAAAGTACTTTGGTGTTTTGTTTGTTTGTTTTGAGCTAGCCAAGGATGGCCTTGAATTTTTGATCCTGGTTCTACCACTCAAGTTTGAGTCCAACCTGGTCTACATAGAGAGTTCCAGACCAGCCAGGGCTGTGTAGTTGAGACCCTGTCAAATATACAAAACAAATATATAAAAAGAATCTTATTTATGATGTTATAAAATCTTACGTGGCAAATTTAGTGTGTGTGTGTGTGTGTGTGTGTGTGTGTATGTGTATGTGTGTACATGTATACATACTTACATATATGTGTGTATTTTATGAAAGGAAACTTAAAGATTATTCTTTTACCTTTAATTTTGTGACTAAAAGGCATCAGATCTTCAGAGATTTAGTGGATACATGTTCAAATTTAATTTTTCAATTCTAATTGCTTTGAATAACCTTTCTAGAACTTAAACATATTTTTGATGTCTTTCTATAATGTGAAATACTGATATTTTTGTTTTAGGTTCAAAGTGATTTGGAAGCAAAGGTTAATTCTGTTACAGAATTACTTAATAAGTTACAGGAGACTGATAAACAATTACAGCGTGTTACAGAGCAGCAAACAAGCATTCAAACTAAGCAAGAAAAATTCCATTGTCATGACCACGAAAAGCAAATGAATGTGTTTATGGAGAAGCACATGAGGCACCTTGAAAGATTACAGCAACAACAAATAGACATTCAGGTACCTATGACAAGGCCAGTGCCTCTGAGCTCTTCTTTTGCATCTCTAAGTTAATGTTCATTGATAAGGTACAGTTTTCCTTAAATCATGATTTGTCTTCCTTCACCCCATGTGGATACTCTGCATGTTCTCTGTTACATGTCATTAGTTCTGTGATACTTTTCCTTGTAGTTCACTTTTCCTCCTGTTGCAGTATTTTGTGTGCATGTATGCATGTTCGTGTATATGTGTACATGTTTACATTCAGGTATGCTTGCATGTGTGCATGTAGAAACTAGAGATCAATGTCAGTGTCTTTCTTAGTCACGCACTGTCATTTTTTTTTTTCATTCTTTAAAAAAAAAGATTATTTGTGTGTGACTGTGTGTATCTGTGTGTCTGTGTGTCTGTCCACATGCTTCTGTGTGCTCACAAAAGCTAGACGAGGTTGTTAAATCTCCTGGTGCTATAGTTACAGGCAGTCCACCTGACATGAATGCTGGGAACCCAGGCAGTCCACCTGACATGAATGCTGGGAACCCAACTGTGGTCCGCTGGAAGAGCAGCAAGTGCTCTTTACTGCTAAGCCTTCTCTCCGGTCCTTCCATCTTATTTTTTTGAGTCTCACTGACCCTAGAGCACACCAATTTGACTAGATTGGCTAAGCAGCAAGCTTCAGAGATCCAGGCATCTTCACTACCTTCCCATCTCAGCACTGGGATTACAGACCTGTGCCACTGTGCCCAGCCTTTTACATTGGCGTTGGGGATCCAAACTCAGGTCAGGATGCTTGCATGGCAAGCACTTTACTGACTGTGCCATCTCCCAAGCCCTGGAACATTTTTTATAAAGCAATGATTTATTTACATCAGCAGCTCCTAACCTGTGGAATATGTGTTGGAATCAGTTGGTGAGCTTTCTAAAACTGCAGACATTTGGACCTCTTGAAGATTCTGGGAGAGTAGGCCTGAAATGGTATCTGGAATCATTGAAAACTGAATGATTCTGATGCACTCTCTTGGAGGAGAACCACCTGTTAAGCATATTTGCCCTTGCAATTCATTATTTAAGATAACGGAATTTTAAAAATATTTTATTTAATTTCTGTATGTATTAGTGTATTGCCTGCAAGTATATAAGTGCACCCATGTTGTGCAATGCCTGAAGAGGACAGATAAGGGCATTGGATCCCCTGGAACTGGAGTTATGGACAGTTGTTAGCCGCCATGTGAGTGCTGGGCATCAAACCTGGGTCTTCTGCAAGAGCAGCCAGTGCTCTTAACTGCTGAGCCATCTGCAGCCCCTTTTTGTTTTTTGTTGATTGTTTTTTTTTATAGGGTCTCCCTAGGCACAGCCCACCTGGAAATCATGATGTTAACCAGGGATCCACCTGCCTCTGTCTCCTGAGGGCTGGGATTAAAGGTGGACACCACCATGCCTGTGTTTATTTATTTTTATTATTTTTTTTTTGAGACAGGGTTTTAGCCCCCGTTGGCCTGAACTCACTGTGTAAACCAGGCTTGCCTTGATCTCACAGAGATCTGCCTGCCTCTGCTTCTCAAGTGCTGTGACTAAAGGTGTGTGCCCGCATGTGTGGCCCTTATTTATTTTTATTCTATGTGTGTATTTTGCTTCTATGCATATGAATGTGCCACATGCATGCAATGCCTGGTGAGGCCAGAAGAGGACGTTGGAGTTCCTGAAATTGGAGTTAGGGGCATTTGATAGCTGCCATTCAGGTGCTGGGAACCAAACCGGGGTCCTTTGCAAGAGCAGCCAGTGGTCTTTACTACTAAGCCATCTCCCCAATTCCCCAAAGATACATTTCTTAAGGAGAGGGTCCTACTTAGGCCTAAGTGCCCTCCATCCTTCTAGAGCTAAATCTACTATTTATTGACTTCCAGATTTTGCAAGAATAGAATCCTTGCTAATTCGGATGTCTTATTAAAAAGCTTGTAATTATAGGGCTGGAAGATGGCTCAGCAGTTAAGAGCACTGGCTGCTCTTGCAGAGGACTCAGGTTCAATTCCCATCGCCCATATTGAGGCTAACAACTGTTGGTAACTCCAGTTCTAGGGGAATCTGATGCTCTTTTTTGATTGTGGGCATTGCATGACATGGGTGCACTTACATACATGCAGGCAGTACAGAAAGAGAGAGAGAGAGAGACAGACAGACAGATGCACACACACCTTTTAATTATAGAGAAAGTTGAAGTTTTGGTGGCATACTACATATATTAGTTATTTAGCAGATGATCAATAAAGTTAAATTGATTGAGTCTATCCCCATCTGATTCCTGTAGAGGTATCTACACCTAGGTATAGATGTAATTATGTACACGTAAGTATCTACATACTTTCAGGAATTATATGAAACTGTGAATTATTATGGATTTTCTAGACCTGCCATAAAACTTTCTTTTGAAATCAACTTAGAATATACATTGTAGATATTTTAATAAGTGATCTAAAACTTTACTGTTAGTATGACTCCCACTTATGCATAAATACATGTGTAGCATGTTGCTACTAAGCTATAGTTTGAGTGCTTATTATCAATGATTTTTAAATCTTTGCTTCAAATGACATTTTACTATGAACAATTTAAAAGATGAGTCATTTTGGTTTCAAATTTGTTGATTCATGAAGAAACCTAGAATTAGACCCTTTCTTCCTGGTGCTCTCTTAACCTATATATAAAGAATATGGATGCGCCGTTGGCATGTAAATATCGGATTATTCAGCCGTAGTTGACGTCTCGGCAGATATGGGTTACTGATGAAAAGGCCATAAGGGTATCGGATGTGTAGTGTATTGCTAGGAATAGTCCGGTAACAATTTGTAGTCCTAGGCATACTCCATATGGTCACGGCCCTTAAGTCATCTCTGAGTAGGAAGGGATGATATTATGAAATGGCTCAGGAAGATGGTTACTGTTGGGCTTAATGTCATGCTAATCTAGCCTTTGGAATTCTGCAGCCTTCTGATGGCACCTCTGCTACCAGTGTAGTGATTGTTGCTATGTAAGGTACATGTTTTCTTTTTCTGTTCAGTGTAATACACTGTTTTCTGTCTTTTAAGAATTTCAATCTATTTTTTCACTTGACATGATCAGATACCGAATATTTTTTAACATTTGTTTTTTATTTTATGTGTATGAGTGTTATGCTTGCATATGTGTAAGTGCACCCATGTCATATGCTGCCCATGGAGGACAGAAGAGGGCGTCAGATCCCCTGGAATTGGAGTTACGGATGGTTGTCACTCTCCATGTGGGTGCTGGGATTTGAACCTGGGTCCTTTGCAAGAACAGCCAGTGCTCTTATCCACTGAGCCATCTCTGCAGCTCCAGATATCAAATATTTTAAACTAGTAAAATAATTCTGTTTCTTCTAGACTCATTTTATCAGTGCTGCACTCAAGACTAGTAGTTTTCAACCTGTTGGCACGTCCCCTTCCAGAGCAGTGGAAACGTATTCTGTTAGATCAGCATACCCTCATCTTGAAAGCAACAGTCTTTCTTTACAGAACACATTTCCTTCCAAACAAGGTAAGACTATTTAGTGTTTTGTGAATAGAGCGTGTGGGCTGTGAATTTTCTTCATGCTGTATAGGTG